ATAACCATTGCAACAAGCTTAAACACAAGGGAAACAGGAAATGTTGAAAACAAACTAAAAGTCCTTGAAAATGAAACAGATTGTGACATTATGCCATAACATCTCTATAGAATGAGGGTGAGAGTCTGGACCAGCGAAAGAAGAGTTCACCAGGGCAAGGCAGACGGCGCAGGAGACCACCAGTGCGGAGCAGATGGAACTGGAGACCCCCAAGGTGGAACAGATGGAGCAGGAGACCACCAGGGTGGAGGAAATGGAACTGAAGACCAGGCGACACTTAAGGACTTAATGCACTTAATGAGGCCTAAGTGGAGCCGAGGTGATGAGCGCCTGAGGTGGAGTAAGGGTGCAGGAGGAATGAGGCAGAGCTGGTGTGAGTGAGGACTGAGGAACCCGACAGAGCCGAATGGGTGGAGGAATCAAGGAGCTGAATGGGACGAACAAAGCTGATGGCTTACAAGGCGGAGGAGAGAATGTGAGGCTGGGCGGGACCATCAGAGACAAAGAACACTTGAGGGTAGTCTGAACCATCAATGAAGACGAAGACTAGTAGCTGGGCAGAACCGTGGTGACTAAGAAGACCTGAGGCTGGGTGTAAACAGCGGCGACAAAGAAGACATGGAGCTGGGCGTAACCAGCAGTGATGAAGAAGACTTGAAGCTGGATGTAACCAGCAGAGGAGGAAGGTCTTGAGCACTGGAAGTCATCAGAAACATTTTTTCACTTCAGACTGGGGAAGAGATATCTTCGATGCTGGAAGATGAGGATGACCAGTCACTTCATTCTCCACTAAAACCCCCACTGGGTTGATATATAAACAGGATCACACACCTGGTCAGACAGGCTTTGTTTTGGGGACAGATGAGGCTGCAGGCTCTGGCTCCATTGCAGGCATTGGCTTTGGCACAGGGTCTGTGGAGGGCATTAGCTCTGGATCTCTGACTGCAGTGGGCCCTGGTTCTTTATCCGCGGTAGGCGTGGTTCCTGGATCTGCGGTGGTCGTGATTGACCAAATCAAAAGGGGGTGAGAACATTCCAGACATAGCTTCCCTCCATGTTCCTTCATTCGTATCAGGAAGATCTAAAGGGCTATAATAATTCACTCTAACCCAGTATAATGATTTGAAAGTCTCATCGTTAAGAAAGGATAAAGGGCGATAAACTACTTATCCTTTCGGCGGTCTGGTGTTCTGTCTCAAATTGGCTGAGGATGAAGACAAGGTGAGGCGAAGCGGATCTATTTAGAAGCATAGACTTTATTTAACAAACAAAAGAGAGTAATCCAAAGGAGACACCAAAATTAACAGTGTGCTATGTAGACAACACCAGACAACGAGGTACTGAAACTGAGGGCATATATGCACAATAACAGTGGCAGAGCCAGGGTATATTCATAGCAGTCTGGGGTAAATCTTCATTATTCAAACATAAAATTGAGTTTGACTGTAAAGTACTGGACTGTTTAAGTGCCTACAACAAAACTGAATACAATTAATTGTACATAAATGTAATTGAGGTAGTGGTGGAATACATCAAGTAATACTGAGTGAATTTGACAATTTTTTCTTAATCCTAGACTGTAAGATATGTTTCAAATTGCACCTGAAAAATTAAGCAATGAATGTTAAACATTCAATTAGTTGCCAAAATAAATTAACTGCAACAATTCTATCATACTTTAACTCATTGCAAAGGAAAAAAAAAATGCTTTCTTTTAAATCTCCATGTGCAACAATGTGGATATAATAAAGGTGGCAGCACATAAAACAAATACCAGAATGTAAAATCTGTAATTTTATACATAATTAAATGCGATCCATTTCCATTTGTACTCTGCAAACTAACGCAACATGGTCCCTGTTTTCGAGTACAAATGAACAGGACTCACATTTATTTGTCCATTAAAGTACATATAAAATGTACATTTAATTTGTGCCTTATTTTGTGAGCTCATTTACAGATGTCAGATACATTTGAGGGTGACGTTCATAAATGTGACATATACTGTATACATGATTTTTAAAAAAAAAGAAGTTTTTGACACTGCTTTAATCATCTCCACATTTAATCATGTTGTATTTACACAATTGTTCAGCGATTTGTATATTTACTGTTTGCTGGGCACTGAGTCTGCACCTATGTTTTCTTTTTTGCGCCTGGCACTGAGGTGAAGTTTGCATGCGCACCAGAAAAGTCTCCTATGTGTTGTGCTCGTAAAGAGATAGAGGCCGTAAAGAGGTCGTAAAGTTATAAATAAATCAATTTAGGTCAAGATGAAAAAACACACACACAGAAACAGCAATTGTGAGCGGGGTGGCCAGGCTTTGGTCAATGGTGGCTGTGGCCCACCCCGGCCAATCCCTAGCTCCGCAACTGCACAAAAACTAATGAACTAAATGAGGAACAGGTGTGCCATAATCAATGATCCAATGAATAACAATGACGACAAGTGTAAACAGAAAGGAAACACAGGAAATGATGAAAAGAGACTAAAACAGACTTTCAAGGAGAAAACAGACCGGCAAAACAGAAAACACAACGGATTGTGACAATAATTTCCATAAATACTAAGTATTTACATTTTTCATAATTCTTCTGCAACATATATATATATATATATGTATATATGAAATTGTCATATATGTTCACATATATGACAATTTCAAGTTTAAGGAGGGTGAATACTTTTGAAATAAGTTATTTTAATTATCTTATTGTAAATTCAGTTCACCTGTAGATATGTTTAACTCTGTGTTATTTTAGTAAAATTGAGATTCTATTACAGTTTCTTAAAATATTTTGAATTAGTTTTTATTTTTGTATTTTCCGTTTTCATTTTAAAGTTGAACAATTTTTTTCTATGTGTTTTGTACTATAATGACCCTGGTTTCACTTACATTAAAGTTAACTGACATTAAAGAGTCTTTTTTTTTTTTTGCACAGGCACTGTAAGTATTGTTAGCATATGAAGGCCCACACGTCATTTTGATTTTGCGAGCTGGGAGAGCGACGGCTCCTGGGGCGGAGGCACGCGGCACAGAAAAGAAGCAAGGATGTGGGGAGCTGGATGTCACAGCACAGACCGTGTTGTTCCAAAACACCCCAGCCACCCCCAGTGCTAATGCAGCCTGATGGCTTGAATGCCAGGAAAAGGTTACATTCACAGTTTAAGGCACACCAGCATTGCACTGCAAATGCTTAGCCAGGCATGTGTGCCCGGATGAGACAGATGTACAAGTCAGCATGCAGAAAGTGTCAACCACCACAGCGTGAGACAGAGACTGAAAGATGTACTGTACAGAGAGAGGAAAAGAGTCACTTTGTGTGTGAAATGTTTAACTCTTACATCTCCATTGTGGTGAGGAAGTACAAAAATGCACCATAAAAAACATTTAAGATGAAGCGCAATGAAAAAATGAGGGGACATAATGCAATTTAGTAGACAAGCCTCCCGAGTGTTTATTTTAAAGGATGAGAGAGCTTGTTTTGTCCTGGGATACACTCGCATGTGACATCCGAAAAGACATAACGGATAAGACATCAGGGCTGTGGCAGATAGAACGCAACATTGATGCCGCTTGTAAAGGAGTCCTGGGGTTTAACCGTGCTTTTGTGTGACAGAGGAACATGGAAGGTAATTTTATGTGACAGGAAACTGCTCCTCGCGTATCATAATGAGGCAAAGAGGGTGCAGGGGAACGATGTGACAGCCTGTGCTAAACCAGAGAATCCACACTGAAGTGTAGGAAAGCATTAGGGTCAGGACTCTTGCAGGTCTCTGAGAATTCTTGCTAACTCCGGATAGATGCCTGAGTGAAACCTGTTTGAATTTTAAAGTGATCCAATTGGACTGGATCTCTCAAGTCAAAAACAATATTTGCACCACTGTATACATACATATAAAACAATAGGGTTTCAACACTGATCTTTTTTTTTTTTTTTTTTTAGAGGGTAAATGTGGCAAAAAGGACACAGTGGTAAAGGCCCATTTAATTCAATTTTACTCCAAACTGTTTACTCTATATGGCACACAAACATTTCTAAAAATCCAAATTTCACTATGCGAGTTGATATTTGGCTGATCCTTGACATGAAGTTGATATAACACTCAATGTTTTTCTTATGTTACAGGTTTATGTAGCAAATGAGAATGGTAAATGTACCATACATTAAGACATGTTTTGTTCAAAGTAATCAAATCAACAACTTTTAATAACTAAAGAATCCGTAAAAGTATGGTATTTGGGGTAAAACAGCCCGATCTCCCGGCAATTCGTACGAATTTTACGAGGTGGCTAATTCGTACTAATTCATTCGACCTCACTCGCACAAATTCGTACGATTTTTGCTAATTCGTACATATTTTACGAGTTACCAAATTCGTATGAATTTGTACGAATGACCTACCCCTGACCCCGCCCCTAAACCTACCCATCACGTGGGTTTAGACAAATCGTACAAATTCGAACGAGTGAGGTCGTATGAATTAGCCACCTTTTAATCACTCGTACGAATTGGTCGTGAGATAGCGTTGGGTAAAAAGCACTTCTATACTGTTAGGGATAAAGCCACAATGTTTGATGTGATAATAAATAACTGGCTGACTTTTCCATTTGAAGACATGGTTAGATTCAAATGCTCAACATAATTTATTAAGTTTAATGTCTGAGATAATTGCCATACTATATTTATCATGACAGCATCATATTTAAATATATGATATGAATCACATCATATGATAAAATATCAAGACATTAGATATAAAAGACATCTCCTCTTGGTGTCCGAAGCTAGTGCTCATGTATTGGAAATTGCACATTTGAAACATAATGGTGTCCATTAGGTTATTATTTGTCAGCCTTTTGAAAACATTTTCCCTATCTGTGGAAACTGAATGGTTGCTCATTGTTAACGTCATCTGAACTTACAGTGAATTTAATGAATGATTGGATTATCAATGTGCTTATATTGCACACATTTGCATGTGTATGTGCATGTACCTCTAATTTAGGGAACTCTGAGTATGTGAACTCCACTGTGGGGACAGCAAGCTGGTTAGAGAAAAAGCTGGCATCTCCGGGTGTCTGCAGTGAGCTGACATTCTGACCAGGACAACCATCTCCTCCACTGCAACTCATCGAATGTCTCTGAAAGATAAACACACATGCATGGTAACAATTTGACATTGTGAGGATATACAGCAATCTACAATGCGATCATGTTGCCTACTATATTACTATAGTGACCAGAATGACTCTAGCAGACCTTCTGCAATGATTTATACAGAGATAAATACAGCAATGAAGTATGTTATAGAGTGATATGTGAGGAATGCATTTAAGTGAGGAGCTTTTATTAAAAAAGTATCACTATAAGAGATTTTTTTGTGATGGGAAATGAATGGGATTGAAAAGTGTTTTTCACTGGCATGTGATTTGAATGTGTTTAATTATTTTTTAAATGTAATGTGCACAAAACATGAGTATTAAGGTATTCTAAATATGGTTGTCATAGCTCAGCATCCCACCTGTAGGTTTGTTCTTGTTTCAACACAACAATAATAATGTGCTTTTAAATCTAATTTGTAGTTGCGTATAATTGTGCATCACTAAAGCCCTGCCTAAATCCTAAACTGATATTGATTTCTCATTGAGTGATGGTTTAGGATTAATCTGTTTTGGTTGAAACTGGCCCTTGGCTATTTAATGACCTACAGATTTAACTGTATTGATCGCGAAACTACTGCTAAATGAACAGATTCTATTCTGTTGTACAGCAACTGACATGAGCTACAATATATATATATTACTGTTTGTCAACGTTCACAGAAATATGCAGCTCCGTAAACCTCAAACAAGTGCAAGTGATGACTGACAGGGCCAAAATCAATGTAAATCTATACAAACACAGTTTGGAAGCATAATGGAAGGGAAAATACAGACTGCAGTGTTACAATCAACTGTGACCAAAAACAGTCATCAGGGTAATTCATATCAGAGTAATTCATATCAGACAGGCCCTGAAAAACATAAAACAGCAGCTGCTGGACTTACAGTGTCTACCGCTGAGGAACAAACAAACTATTTTGTTGCATGCTTCACAACACAACTTATTTAACACACAGACAAACACAAATTGTATCCAGAATAGATTTATTTGACAGTTTAACTCTATAATTATATTTAATTATGTGTGTTATACATATTACAAAAAAACAGACTGTACTTCTTAGACCAAAAAATAAATAAAATAAAATAATGTGCAGCATGCTTATTCTGCAACGCTTGTTGAAAGAAAGAGGCCAGACTTGGTTTCCGGGTGTAGAAGTAATAAGAGATTTGTCAGAGGCTTAGGGAATATTTCTAATAAATCTTTCACAATGAAAAAGGCATATTGATGCAATATTATTTTAAAATCTTTAATACATATTAATATTGTATTAATAAATGCATGTATTTATTTATTCATTTCTAAAATAATTAATATTTATTTGGAGAAAATATTTATAAGTAAAATGATGTCCTCAGGAGAAAGTAATGTTGTTAAAATCTTTCTAAAATCTGATATAAAAAGGGGATATGTATAGCTGTTTTTTAAAGGAGTTATTTCTACTTTCGTGTAACTCAACAGAATCAAGTTGATTCAGTAATATTACGTAATATTTTTGACATCAAAACTAGATGTTACCCCACAAAGCAATTTTTTAGGTTATTAGACAAAACATTTTTTTTTTTTTTTGTATTTTAATGCAGCATTGTCATATTTTGCCCTTCTGGGGCATTTTGTTCAGGCTTTCATGATATTAATTTATATAAACATTCGATAGGTTACTGTAACATGCTGAATTTCATACTCATACTCTCTGATTTAGGAGCTTTACCCATCAGTTTAGCATGCCTGATTAACAATAAACAAGCGAACAAACCCAATAATGCAACCGATAACAAAGTTACTATTTTTCTCACGTATTGCTATTCTTAAAAAAATAAGAATGAGATGAATAAGATGTAGATAATGTGATGCACCTTATAATTGTTCTTGTAAATAGTTAGTATGCCCGACTAAACACAACACTTATTTTTTCATTTTTTCATTAGGTCCACAGGAACATAGTGGCCTGAAAAGTAGCTGGTGAACATAATAAAGTGCATTATCAGCTTGACTCATTAATATTAATTATGTGGCAAAATGATTTGCACAATAATTATACCTGCCCTATAACACATTATTCTCCCTTGTGTGTCTATTTTTGCGCTGTGCATGGATTACTGTAACATTCGGTGCTTCATTCTGAAAAAAAGTGGAGTCCTTCATCTTCATAGGCAGCAAAAGCCATTAAAGTCAAAATTAGCCACAAATTCCTGAGGTAAAATGTGACAGCAGAAACAGCTTGGGAGCGGCGAGAAAGAGGGAGAATAGGTAATTTCTGCCCTGCAATTCCTTTTCCCCGTGAGGAGAATCAATATTTAATTTCTCTGTCTGCAATGATAACGAGATGGCAAAATCATTGTTTATATATTTGAGCTTGGATAGACCTGTGGGTAAGTGAGGAGAGAGAGAGATGCACTGGCAGACAGCCACAGCAAATGAAGCTGCTCGTCCACTCAGCTGATGTGAAACAAACAGCATTGCCTAAAGTCCATTAGCAAATGAGCAGGCTTTTACCATGCCATTGTGATCACTGTGATCCCATGACTGAGAGCGTCCACATCCTATTACATGCCACCCACACATGATCAGAGGAAAAATTGTACATGTGCACAATAATTTGAGAAAGATCAGAGGCATAGACCGAGTTTCTTCAACAACAGGCTTTTGTCCTAGCATTTCAGGGCAATTTAAACATTTTGTTTTATGAAGACAATTGTTCTTACCATGAATTTATATAATATAGAATGTATATCATTTATTTTATTTTTACACAGATAAAAAATGACATGTCTTCACATAAACTGTCTATATAACTGTCCAGATGTACAGTATGTACACTGCTGGTCATAATTTTTGAATAAATTAAAATAACACGAGTGTTTTATGAGAGTTTATTTTATAAATTTCATAAAATTGTCCATAACACCTAGAATGGCTAGACACTATCCTAAATGTTTGACACTATTCACATTTTAGTTAGAGGCTGTGTGCTAAAGCTGTTATTTTTTCTGAATCAATGAATGGCAATATCACTGAATACAGTAAGAGGTACCTGAGATAATTGCACAGCTGCAAAATTAATATTTGTATTTGACAAAACATGCCATCGAACTGAAATTTCTCACAGTACGAAGATAAAATGACAGTGGACAGAGAGAATGCTGTGTGAAGAAGAAAAGAAAAAAAAAAAGAGAGAGAGAGAGAGAGAGAGAGAGGCAAATATGTGAACAAAACTGTTATCTCGTTCTGAAAGACGGAGAATGACCTTGCATTGTGGAGATAATTTATTCTCAGAGAAGGTGACCTTTGGAAATTACATTTGCAGAGAAGTGGAATTGGAACTGCTGATACATTTATAAAAAGAAGAGACAAAATAGATGAATAAGACTGAGATTATTTAACAAAAACAACAAGATGGTTGTCACTGTGGATAATGTGAGAGGTTTGCAGTTGCTGCACAGATGGTGGCGCACTGGAGCTTTTTAACATGAGAGGACAGACAAATGGACGAGCAACTTTCTTACCTAATGCATCCAATTTAAATTGAAACAGTAATACTGAGATCATCTGAAAGTATCTGCAGTGGCAATTACACATAAATAAGACCAGGAGCGGTGTTCAAGTATGACAGAGTATGACATTTGCCATACCCTGGCATTCAGACAAAACAGGGGGAAAAAACAGCTCATGATAAAGCTCATTTAAAGATAATCCAAATATTTTTTTAGAAGAACAGATCTGAACATTGGTAGGTTCCTAGGGATAATTCATAGGAATATGGGAGGTTTCTCATGATGGGCTCTGCTGTACGATATTAACGGCGACTTTTCTTGATTGGATCCCTGGATTCAGGATTGTGGGTAGTGTAGTCCTGTGTTTTTGTCAATTACAAAACTTTTTTTTTTTAAACTGTAGAAATCACATGGCAGATTTTACATGAGCATTTAAAAACACAATCACACCCACCGTCGATCCTCGAGCCAGAAGTAAACATCACTGCATAAAAGTATTCCTATTAATAATTTTCTCTGTGAATAAATCAAGATTTGACTTCAAGTTTGGAACACTGTTGTTGCGCAGTCGCAGTGAATTGCATAACTTAATCACGTGTCTTTTTGGACTAGCTGTCAACATACTAAAGTCACTTAATGTTCATGTCTGTGGAGAAAAGAGTTGGTGACATTTTTTTATTTAAATGAGCTTGTCACCAAGTATGCACTGCTCCGACCTCGCCACTACCCACTTATGGAATAAAAACTGCACTGCGACAAAAAGTAAGACGTGTTTTTATTTGTAATGCTGTTAACTTATCAAACCATTTTAAAAATCTCTCATGTTGACAATGTCTGGCTGGTGGGTTTGGACCATAGACATGTGTGTATGTAGTATGTAGATGCTACATTAAAACTCTCCAAATATGGCATCTTGGAACGATCAGCATGTCGTCCCTCACAGTAAGAATCAATGATGCCACAACATTGCACAGCTTCTGTTTGTGAAACCACCAATATTTAAATTCCTGAAGAAATTGGATAACCTTTTCTCACAGGTGAGAAAATTGTAGGCTGTCTTAGGCTTGTATTGCGTTTATATTCGTAATCCTAAAAATTTGTCACGCACAGAAATCCATTAATCCAAAAACAATACAAAATGGAGTCTTTACGGACAAAAAATTAACGGACCGCTTGTACGGTGGCCCAGAAAATACTTGATACGGATGCGAAAAACGCAGAAAATTGAACCCGAACCGATTTTTCTTATGACGGACAAAAGTTTTGGATTCAGTGTGTAAACGTGAGTGACACAACGTGAGGTCGTATTCATTTTTTAAGGACACAAAAAAACTTTAAACACACCTTAAAGGTCCCGAAAATTGTCGTGGACTCTTTTAGTATGGTGGATTTTTTTTTGCACGTTTTGTTTAGATATAATGTGGTTACTTAGGAATGTCTTTGTTGTATGGCCAGGGGGAATTATGCCATATCCCAGGTTTTCG